TAAATGATATACATATTGAAATGAATACGATTTAAGAAAAAATACAAAATTCTGGTAAATAAAATAAATACTTTGTTATGTCAAATATCATATATCCGATATGATTTAAGAAAGGATACAAAATTCTGGTAAATAAATAAATACACTGTGACAAAAGTATGTCAAATAACATACAAAATTATAGGTGTTTAAATTTGTAAAAAAAATAAATTAAAAATTAATAAATAAAATTCTAAGGTATTATCATAAAGTTTCATCACAATAACTAGTTTTAAAAGATGAGGACGAATAATGGCCTTTAGGAAGAAGGAAGAGACCACCTATTTTAGGTCTCATAATCTTTTGCAAGGAAAGTAATGAAGATTTTTGGAAACTTAATCTAATTTGACATACCACCCCCACCCCCCTCTTTGATTTTCTATAGTTTCTTATTTCTTAATTATATTATGTTAAGTTAAATAAAGAAAAAAATTACATAAATCAGCCATGATAAATTTTTTGAATAAATTAGAAATTAAGTCACAATTACTAACATAATTAGACAAAATAACAATAGTTCAAAATATTTATTTAAAATGACAGAATGACTATATGTTTATAAAATAATATGTATTCATATTTTAGTATAATGTAGTATTTTAAATTAATTTTATTATGAAAAGAGTCATTATTGGACTAAAATACACACCAGTAACCGTTTTAAACTAGAAAAAAAATAAAATAATACAATTTATCTTTTTTAATTGTCATTCGCCTTTCTTCCCCATATCTCACCTTTTAAGTTTAGATTCTTTCAAGGTGTTAAATTGTTGCTCACCAAGAAATTCTTTATTGTTAAACTAACACTATTTATTAATTCAAGCAAATTTCTCGATTGGCAAGGTAATTTCCATCATTCGAAATTATTTTTTTGATTTGATGTTTAAAGCACCGATTATACACGTTACTGATTTTCAATTGAATTTTTTAATTTTCATATAATTTTGTTTAAATATTCATCATATATTTATAATTTTCAATTCTTTTTGTGATTCTCTTTAATTTTTCAGATTTTGTAGATTATAGATATTCATATATATGTTTATTTATATTTGATGTTGAATACATTTTAATTTTGAACATTTTTCTAATATGATGTTGAATAAATTTATAGCATTATAAAAATACAATATAAAAATTAGAATGAATACAAATACAAATAATATATCTATTAGAATGAATACGATTTATGAAAGGAAACATAATTTTGAAAAGAAAAATAAAATACACAATAAGAAAAATAAAATAAATACAAATATGTTTCTTAAATAACTATATATTCATTTGACATACCTATTGGAATGAATACGAACTAATAAAGAAATACTAGTTCAATTATAAAAATTTAAGAAAGGATACAAAATTCTGATAAATAAAATAAATACATTGTGAGAAAAGTATGTCAAATAACATATAAAAATACAACATGAAAACTAGAATGAATACAAATACAAATAACATACATATTGAGATGCATACGATTTAAGAAATGATACAAAATTCTGATAAATAAAATAATACATTGTGAGAAAAGTATGTCAAATAACATATAAAACTATAAGTGTTCAAATTTGTAAAATTTTAAAAAATCAAAAGGTATTAAAATCATAAAGTTTCATAAAAATAATAATTATTTTTGAATGACAAGGACAAATAATAGCCTTTAGGAAGGAAGAGACCACCTATTTTAGATCTGATAATCATTTGTAAGGAAAGTAATAAAGATTTTCATCAACTTAATCTAATTTGAAATATTTTTACCCTTGATTTTTTCTCTGGTTTGTTATTTCTTAATTATATTATGTTAAATTAAATAAAGAAAAAAATATATAAATCAACTCATAACAAACTAAAATATTGTCATTTTTACTAAATATTGAAAGTATTACTAGGGGATCCTATGAAATATCAAAATATTGTTGTTTTAAAAAATTTCTCAAATATTGTCATTTTTAATAAATATTAAAAGTATTGCTAAGGGATCATATTAAATGTCATAATATTGTTGTTTTGAAAAATTTTGCCTAAATTTTTTCCAATATTATCCAACTTTACATATTCTCCTCAAAATATACTTGACACAAAAATACATCATCTCTTCTAATGTGACGCCAATCAGATTATTCTTTTTTTATTATTAAGGCTTAAGTCATCGATGACCCCTTAAAGTTATCTGTATAATTCACTTAAACACCTCAACTAAGTGTTGTACCTATTGAACACTTCTATTCACTTGGATTAGAACCATCTTAACACTTCTTTAACAATCAATTGAAAATATAAAGTGAGTGTAATACATTCGTGATGAAATGACAAATTACCGAATAAATGATGGCATTTTGAGTAAAAATAATAATTAAAAATCTATGACAAAAAAAAAGGAAGAATATTTCTAGGGTATTATTGTCCACCTACCATCGACTTCAACTTCTTTTTTGAAGATGTTGCCGTACATCCTCCATCGTCTTCCCATCATTATCCCCTCGTTTTTTCTTAATCCAACCAATCAACCAAATTAAAAAAAGTTGTATCCTTTAGATATATATAAAAAAAAGTTGAAACAACAAGTTATTTCTCCTTCAGTTTCTTCATTTGTATCCTCTTTTTTCTGTCTCATATTCAGACAAAAGTTGAACAAAAGTCAACAATTAGTATTGGAATTGGTTATTTCAATGAAAAAAAAAATCAATTTTGATAAAAGAATTGTGAAACTGTTCGTTTGAAATTGAATCCTTCTTCGATTTCTTAATACTTATCTATTAGTGTAATATTGCATCAACATTATTCATTTTCTCATCTAAAAAGTTCAATGATTAACGATGCAATTGTGCTATTTGAATGAATAAATAATTCATTGAAGAGAAATTTTAAAAATGCTCTGTTTGGATCTAACTTCATCTCAATTTTCTCTCATTTATCATGTTTTTATTTTGGTGCTTAATTAAAGGAATTCATTCCCAGTAACACTTCCTTTCATTTTCGAAAAGGTAATGATGTTTTTCAGATAACAACAATAGTAGTGATAGCTGATGGCGGAGGTGGCAACAGAATGTTGGTGTTTTGTTAGAAAGGAGGTATGGAGGAAAAAAGCAGAAGAAAGAGATTATTTTTTAAACGAAAATATACTTCCACACGCTAGGTATATGTTATAAGTTCCACTTTTCAGCAAAAAAATGTCAAATAGATATTAGTTTTGAATAAAATAAGTATTGAATAGGTACAAGGTATACTTAAAGTGTCCGAGTGAAATATGGGACAACTTTAAGTGACTTTCTATGACTTAAGTCTATAATTAATAAAAAAAATTATTAATAATTTTTAAAATTATTTTTAGATAACCCATACATTATACCTAGTAAAAAAATTACATATCGTCAACATTTTTTACCCTAATTATGGGAGTTTTGGAGGCAAATCCATTTTTTTAAAAAATATACCACTAAAATTATCTGGATTTAACATATGTAATTATTTTGTATTAACCTAAGTGAGACTTTATAAGTATCCGACTATAAATGCTACATGTATAAAAACAATTTAATACGAATGATATATATTTAATTTTTCTCTTCACCTATATAAAACTTCTTTATCTAATATATTTTACAATTATACATATTTACGTCCAGATCAAATTAATTAAAATATATTTTCTCTCTTCATCTTTATGACACAAAAATATATAACGCACAGACACTTTATTCTCAATCACATATCCCAATCATAATTTATTTTATTTTATTTTCAAAATATTAAACTTAAAAAATTTAATAATTTTTATATATTAAATAAATTTGTATTTTAAAATTGAAACTTGAATCCAAATTATTAAGTTTGATTGAAATCGTGATCGAAGTATTAGCTCTGTCTATGCTCACACACACTACATCAATAATGATCATTAGCGGCGATTAATACTATTTTATATGTCTATAAGACTCTAGTGACATTGGTTTTAATGACACTTTATTAATACCGATAAAGACTTTAACACTATTTATTAATATCAATATTTAATCCCGTTAAAAGTTATTTTTACTATAGTGACATAGAGCTAAAATGATTTTTCTCCTCACCTCAATAAAACTTTTCCTTTTAAGTTTCAATGAAACATATATGTTTTTGCTCTTTTAATTCGATAAAGAAATTTAAATTTCAAAAGCCTGATGAATTAAACTATAGTTTTATGTATGTCTATTTGAAAATTCTAAATTATTGATTCACAACTTTTATATATATATATATATATATATATATATATATATATATCCACACACACACATACACACACTAAATGACAATTATTCATATATGGAAAAATGCATAAGTACTCCTCAACCTATATATGAAATTTCAGAGACACACTTATATCATACTAAGGTCCTATTACCTCCTAAACTTATTTTATAAATAATTTTCTATCCCTTTTCATCCTACGTGGCCCTATCTTGAAAAAAAATGTCAACTCGCGTGGACCCACAAGATAGTGCCACGTAGGTCAAAAAGGGGTAGTAAATTATTTACAAAATAAGTTCAGGGGTAATAGGACCTTAGTATAGTATAAGTGCGTCTCTGAGATTTCGGGCATATGTTTGGGGGAGGATACTTGTGGATTTTCCCTTCATATTTGGATTTGCTTCCGAATCCCCCAGAACTAGGTAGACAATTTTGGCGCTAAATATTTTTTTTACTGGGTATAATATATGAGTTGTCTAAATAGATTTTAAACAATTATTAATAATAAAAAAAGAATGATGTGACATAGCATTCCATTAGAAAAGAGATGATGCTTTTTTTGTGCTATGTATATTTCAAGGAAAATACAGAAATTGGATGATATTATAGTCCTAAAACAATAATAAGTGATATTACTATGTAATTTTCAAAACATGGGTGACTATTTAGGAAAATTACTTCCTAAGTTTACTTGTGACCTTAGCAATACCATAAATAATAGCTAATGATGAATAAATCTCTACATTGGTTACTTGATGAATGTACCTTAATCTTAACTCATATAAATTGATCCTTCTTCAATCCACTAGGGTTACTATATATTCTACATTGATTCCATCAGTTGTATTAACAAGGCTAGGGCAAGGAGGTAGAAGTCAAATTACGACTAACGCTTTCGTTTTTCTCTATGATGATGTCTTCCGCATCAGGTATGCTTTCCTTTTTCTCTATGAAGACGTCTTCCGCATCAGGTATGTGCTTTAACAATATAATATCTACGTAAAATTATCTAGTTCAAGATCCTGATATGTATTAAAGTATTTAATCTTATATCAAGTCTAAAGTTTTGTTCAATCATCGAAACTTTAAATATGGATTAAAATAACAAAGCCCACACTCATCGAAAAACAAAATTACATCAAACTAAAAGTCCTGTGTGTTTTCCCTTTGAGAAAAAGAGAGATTGAATTTCTTTTTTGTTATGTGAAAAAACTTTTTCATAGAAGTCGTTCTGCTCTTTTAATAGAATACAGGATATTTAGGGATTTTTTATTTTATTTTCCTTGGATAGATTATCTATCCACGTATAAATATCTCTCATTTTTTTATTAATAGAACATTAAAGATTGCTCCATTCTCTCTGTATTTTACATGGCATCAGAGTATTTCTTTTTGTTTTATTTTTCTTTTTGAATCATTGGTGCCGGATTGCTCAGGAAATTATTCGTAAGTTGGTCATGTCTGCTAGTGAGGGGTACTTGAAACTTGATTTTCCAATTTCATAGCCAACCTAAGGAGGACCACCTCACCCGATCCATAAAAATCAGGATTCGGTGACCGGGAGGAAAGAGTGTGAGGCTCGAGCTTCGGCGAACTATTTCAGAAAGCTTCTGCATACGAGGCACGTGGGCGAGTGTAAAATCTGAATTAGATCAGATTTTTATTTCTAGTATCATCTCAATATTTTCGGTCAGATTTTGCGGTCTTTTATTGAACAGACCTCAGTTAGGTTGATTTCCAAGCATTCCAAGTTCCCCAAACTTTGTTTTCCTTGGGTAAAATCAGTTGACATGTATTTGCTAATTCTGGTGTTAGATTACTGCTAAAATTTTGATCAAATTCTTCTCTCTTTGGCTTGGTTGACCGTTCACTCTTAGTGAAAAATTAGTTTGATTGGATCAACCAAGCTCTATTAACTCTTGAACATCTAAAAATTTGTTGGCATAAATCTACTCCGTGAAAGTTTGTTGGTTTAACTTCTTAATTTATTTTTGTTATATTGAGTATTTAATTAGGACAGTGACCGATCATAATCGAGTAACTCAAAGTTCTGAAGTTCTTGGTGTTTCTAGTCTATCATCTGCTAAAATGAATTTGGTTTCAGTCGAGGAGTTCGCTAATTTCTCTCGATATCAAAAATCCACTACAGTTACTGCTTTTACTATGTCCGATAAAATATGTCTTGTTATCGCTTCAAATAAATGGGCCATCGATTCAGGTGCTATAAATCACTTGACAAGTAATCCTATATATTTTCAAGCTTTCAACCACCAAAAGCACCATCTCCCATTATTGTAGTTGACGGATCAACTCGTAATAGTGGTTGATCTGGGACTATTAAGACAACCTCCTTATTACCTTGTCATCTGTGTTAATTCTAACAAAATTGGATTTCAATTTGATATATGTCAACAAACTTATCAAAGACCTTAATTGTTATATCTCGTTCGTTTTCGATCATTGTTTGTTTTGTGATCTTATAACGAATCAGATAACTGAAAAAATGACATTTATATGATGATCTCTACATCATCGATGAATGAGAGTCTCGATCTATTGCCTGCTCCAGTGTCATATCTCTATTTGAAGCACATTGTCGATTGTGACATCCTTCTTTACCTTTGTTGAAGAAGCCTTGTCCACAATTTCTGAATATTTCTTCCTTAGACCGTGAGTCATGTCGATTTGCAAAACACAATCGTATTTTGTTAGGTCCAAGGATTAATAATCAAGTTGCGTTAACTTTTGAGTTAGTTCATTCTGTAGTTAAAGGACCATGTCCAGTTGTTTCTAAAACAGGGGACAAATACTTTGTCACTTTTGTAGATGATTTTTCTTGAATGACCTGGATTTACTTTATGAAGAGTCGACCTGAAGCATTTACTCATTTTTCTGCATTTTGTGCTGAAGTCAAAACTCAATTCAATGCCTCAAATTTGTATTCTAAGGAGCGATAATGCTAAAGAATAGAAGTATTTAGATCATAAAACAACATGGTATTCTTTATCAGTCTTCATGTTTTGATACACCCTCTAAAATGGAGGTGTTGAGAGGAAGAATAGGCATCTAGGTAAGATAGCTGGGGCTCTTTTGTTCCAAATGAAGGTTTCTAAAAATTTTTGGGCTGATGCTGTCTCTACTGCTTGTTATTTGATAAATTGCATGCCATCTAATGAGCTTGCTAGTAATATGCCTTTTAAACTTCTTTCTCTAAATAAGTCACTATTTTCAATGGGACTTTAGGTGTTTAGAAGCACATGTTGTGTTCGAGACGCTTGACCATATTGTTACAAAGTTGGACCCCGAGGCATTGAAGTGTGTTTTCTTGGGTTATTCTTGCCTTAAAAGGGGATATCAATATTATTCTACTGAGCTTGGTATGGTGTCAACTGATGTGGTATTTTCTGAGACTACACCATTCTTCTATGCACCTCTCAATTCTACAAGTCAGGGGGAGGAAAAAAGAGTGGTTAATCTACCAGGTTACTCGTGTTGTGATAGAAAAGTCAGAAGATGTTCTTCCCTATCCTAGTCTTTTGTTGAGCACCAATCCACTATTGTTCCATCAGCACCTATTAAATATGTGCCAACAAGACCGCTTATTGTTCAAGTTTACTTGAGGAGGCGGAAAATCGATGATACAATTCCTTTATCATCAGATGTTACTCTGCTTGATTCTCCATAAAATCTTGACCTCCATATTTCTCTTCAAAAAGTACACGTCAGTGTAAGTCCGCATATTTCTTTGCTAACATTGTCTCTTATGACCACTTATCAGTTGCATCTAGTCGTATGATATCCTCTCTAGACTCTATCTCTATTTCTAAAACAGTGAAAGGTGCCTTGAACCATGCATCTTAGATGGCATGATGCAATGGTTGAGGAGATATATGCTTTAGATAAAAATCACACTTGCAATTTGGTAGATTACCAAAAGGAGCAGTTGGATGCAAATGGATCTTTGCGGTGAAAGATAATCTCGATGGCTTTGTTGCAAGACTTAAGGCCAGACTTGTGTCAATAAGCTATAACCAGACTTATGGTGTAGATTATTATGACACCTTCTCCGCGGTAGAAAAGCTCACTTCTGTTCTCTTGTTCATTTCATTGGTTGCTTCTCAGCATTGAACCTTACATCAATTGAATATCAAAAATGCATTTCTTCATGGTGATCCCAATGAAAAAGTGTATATGGAGCAACCACCTGGATTTGTGGCTCAGGGGAAGTATGAGAAAGTTTGTCATCTGAAAAAATCTCTATATGGTCTAAAGTGAACTCCTCGTGCTTGGTTTGGAAAATTTAGCGATGTATTTCAGCAATTTGCGTTGAAGAAAAGCAAGTGTGATGACTCGGTTTTCTATAGATAGTCAACCGTTGGTATTATTCTTTTAATTGTTTATGTTGACGATATTGATATTTTAGGAGATGATTGTGTGAGAAGAAACTTCTTACATGCCAAGTTTCGTACCAAATATTTGGGGTAACTGAAATACTGCTTGGGTTTCGAAGTAGCAAGAAACAAATTTTCTTATCCCAAAGAAAGTATATGTACTTGATTTACTCGCAGAAACTCAATATTTGGGAGCCAAACCATGTTGCCCACCAATGGTTCCTAATGCTCATCTTATTAAAGATGATGGTGATCCTCTTGATGATCCATAAAGATATGAGAAATTAGTTGAGAAAATGAACTACTTCACAGTGACACATCAAGATATTGCATATGCAGTCAATATTGTTAGTCAATATATGTCAGAACCGACTTTCAAACATTGCGCAGCCTTGGAACAGATCTTGTGTTACTTGAAATGAGCTCCTGGCCTTGGCATTTTGTATAGCGACCACGGGCATACTCTTATTGAGTGTTTTGTGGATGTTGATTAGGCTGTATCAAAAATTGATAGAAGATCTCCTACTGGATTTTGCGTTTTTGTTTTGGTATCTTGGAGGAGTAAGAAACAAACTGTTGTATCTCGATCTAGTGTAGAATCTAGTATAGAGCTATGACTCAATCCACATGTAAAATACTATGGATTCATCACCTTTTAGTTGATATCAGTTTGAACCCTTTATCTCCAGCAAAACTTTGGTGTGATAATGAGGCTGCTCTGCACATTGCCTCAAATTCAGTGTACCATGAATGTACGAAACACATTGAGGTTGACTGTCACGTTGTTCGTGAAAAGATCTAAGAGAACATGATTTCTACCGGATATGTAAAGACATGAGAATAATTGAGTGATATATTTACGAAGACGGGTGGGATATCTTTGTAGCGAGTTTGGCATGATTAATATCTATCCTCTAGAGAATGTACAAAGACTTATTTTCCTATACATAACACATTCTCAACACAATCATAGATAGAGATATTTTTGGAATTTTCTGATTTTGTTTTCCTTAGATAGATTATTTTTGTATACGTATAAATAACTCTCCTTTTTGGATTATTAATAAAACATTGAAGATTACTCCATCCTCTATGTATTTTAAATGCAGTAAATTTTTTCAATTTTATCTCTCCTAAATGGTTCGGACTGAGTCAGTCCACATGGATAAACTCAATAATGGTAAAGAACTATAATGATATTTTGATCAAGATAGAGCTATGACTTTGTATAAATAATCATCAGGTTGATATTTTTGCTTCTCCCTGAGTAAGATATATACGAAGTAAATTTTTTAGTGCCCCTACAGGTTAACAGACAACTATTATTTATTAGAAATCTAGAAAGATTTGCAAGTTGTTTTCATCCTTGAGGTTTAAATTATCTTCCAGTTTATTTTCCTCTTTTTCTCAAGTTTCACACTTCTGTTTTGGTGAAAATCATGCATTAGTGCTTAATATTGGTGCATCCAGATTCTTCAAATCCTGAGTTCGCCTTTGATCAAAAGAATAGGGAACAATATGGGTACCTTTTCTTGGGGAGAAATGGGAGAATGATGGGTTAATGGTTCAGCAGGAGGAGAATGTTGATAAAGTTGAATATCAAGACAACTGATGGATTATGACGTGGAGCAGGTATTTCATCATTTATGTGCATGCTTCATGAAGATATTCTTGTGTGCACCAAAAATAGAAAAGGACTAGATAGTTCATCTTTATCTTTCGAATAGAGTTACAATTATCTTCCTCTGACTTCTATGATCTTCTGAATCATTCATCAGATGCAAGTCAGGATAATCTAGAAATCTCTTGTGTGTCATGACAGGTTCCCATCTCTCTATTTGTGGAATTAAGAAGATAAAGTGTTCGAGTAGAAGTTAGTTAAAGTAGTTAGAAGTCTGTTAAAGAATAAGAAGGGTAATGTAGTCATTTACAGGTTAGTAAGTTAACAGAATATTCTAGAGGAGAGTTGTATCTGTATATATAGCTACATCATCTATGTATTGTTTTAAATGTTTTTGAATGATAATGAATCTAAACATTTTTCCCTCTACTTCTCTTCCTTTATTCTTCCACTCTTCTTCTTCTTCGAAGTAAATTCAATTTACCAACATCGTATCACAACTTGATCTTCACAGTGCTTACTGTTGAATTCTTTCCATCAAAGAACAAGATCAAAGAGTCATATATTGATTCATCGATTCATTTGTTGTTTTGTCGATTACAAATTGAAAAGCTCCATTGAAGCTTGAATTTGCATCTACTGAGATTTTTTATTTTTGTATCTTTTAGTGCTTCCGCAATAAAGAATTCATCAAAGTGTTCATGGCAATTGAATAAGGAACTGAAGATTTGTCAGTAGGTACCTCTGTTCCTCTTCATAGTGGTTCTCTATCAGGAAATTCATCACTGGTCGGAAAAGGCATTGACTATAATCACCCGTTATTCCTCAGCCCTACTGATGTAAGTGGTATCAACATTATTTCCTTTCAATTGTTAAGTGTTGAAAATTATACTTTGTGGAATCGTTAAATTAAGCTAGCACTGCTGGGAAGGAATAAGATAGGGTTAGTTGATGGTTCATCTAGTAAGGAAATGTATGGGGAAGAATTGTGGGGACATTGGGAAAGAGTAAATGCCATAATGTTGTCATGGCTTATGAATTCTGTCTCAAAAAGTCTGCTAAGTGGAATAGCATTTGCTAATACTGCAGTTGATGTGTGGAATCATCTCAAGGAGAGATTTGATAGAGTTGATGGGTCTAGAACTTTCGGTCTTCATAAATATATTGTGTCTTTACAACAGGGAATAAGTTCTGTGTCTGTTTACTATACCAAGCTTAAAAATCTGTGGGATGAGCTTGAAGCCTTAGTTCCTTCTCTCTACTGTAATTGTGATAAATCCCAGGGTATTTTAATTTACCTGAATAGACAGAAGCTATACCAGTTCTTAATAAGGCTGAATGACTCATATTATCAGGCTAGAAGTCAAATAATTCTAATGGATCCACTTCCTGTTATTAACCAAGCCTATGCAGTGATAGTAGGAGATAAAAGCCAAAAAGTTATGAGTATAAGCATTTTAAGTATGGGGATGAATTATGTGGGACTTGATTCAGTAGCTACGTACTCCATGATGGGTAGTTGTTCAGGACCAAGTGTTGGTAGCAGTTCTGGTACAATTCAAAAGTTCAAAGAGAAACACTCTTCTGGTATGTGACTTTTTGTAAATGCAGGAGTCATAGTAAAGAATTTTGTTACAAGATAGTTAGGTATGTTCCAGAGTTTAAGTCTAAAAGAAAGGTACAAGGTAGTGGTACTTCTGAATATAGTTATACTGGTGCTACTACAATAGCTCAGACTAACTTCTCTTATGGTATGAATACAAATGTGCATATGCCAGCATGAGGTAATAAGGTTGATCAGCACATAGGCATACCATCTACTACTTCTACTCCTATTCCTAATGATAACAATGAAAATAGGTTGGTGACTCGGGTTGAAAAAGATGTCCAACAACTGTTTCAGAGGTGCACCTTTACTAAAGATCAATATGATCATATTTTGCATATATTTGAGAAAAGGACAGAAAGTACTACAGATTCAAATAATGCACATTTAGCAGGTAATGTATTCTTTGTATTTGAAAACAATGATGTATGGATCATAGATACTGGTGCAACTAACCATATGGTGTCTAGTTTAGATATATTGACAGATGAGTCTGTAACAAAACTCAAAATTCCTAAGTCTATGTATCATCCAAATGGTAAGGTCACACATGTTACTCATGTTTGTTCCTGTGCACTATCAGCTAGAAGTGTTATTACAGATGTCTTTCACATTCCTAACTTCAAGTGTAATCTGATGTCTGTAAAATCACAAAAAAACTAGGTTGCTCAGTCACCTTTTTTCCTTATTTTTGTCTATTCCAGGAGCTTTACAGTGAGAAGGTGAAAGATGTTGGTAGAATAGAAGGAGGTTTGTACCTACTGTTGAGACAACTAAATATAGAAACTGTCAACTCCAGGAAATCTGCATTGTTAGTTACACAATTGTCTCCATCTGCTAAAAAGTCTGATATAGAGATATGGCACAATCGATTGGGGCATGTATCACCTGCAGTACTAGCTAGGATTTTCTCTATAAATAAGCAAAACATGTCTAATCTCTCTCAGTTTCTAGTTTGTCCATATGCCAAACAATCAAGAGGTAGTTTTCCTACTACTAGTATCAGAAGTAATTCCTGTTTTGATTTGCTTCATGTTGTTGATGTGTGGGGGTCCTTATAATACTCCAACTATTGATGGCAACAAGTACTTTTTGACAATTGTGGATAATTTTTCAAAAAAGTCTTGGTTATTTCTGCTTAAACTCAAGTCTGATGTGTGTGTGTGGCATTGCAAATTTACTTACATATGTTGAAACTCAGTTTAATAAAGCTATAAAGGTGATCAAAATTGATAATGCCACTGAGTTTGTTAACTTAGTGTGCACTCATATGTTTCAAAGAAAGAGGGATTATACATCAAAGTACTTGTCCTTACACTCCTCACCAAAATAGAATGGTTGAGCGAAAACATAGACACTTACTAGAGATAACCAGGGCCCTAAGGTTTCAAGCAAAATTGCCTTTGAAGTATTGGGGATATTGTGTGCTAGCTACGACTTATATCATAAATAGGTTGCCTAGTAGTGCTATCAATTTTCAAACTCATTATGAGAGATTATATGGGAGAGTACCAGATCTTGCTCATTTAAGGACACTAGGGTGTTTATGCTTTGCTAAGAATCTGACTGAACATGACAAGATGCTCTTAAGGTCTAAGGCTGCAGTCCACATGGGGTATTCAGATATACAGAAGGGGTATGTATTGTTGGATCTCACAAGTGCTTCATTTTTCACTAGCAGAGATGTGTTGTTCAGAGAAGACATCTTTCCTTTCTCACAAATGGATGAGTATGCTTCTATTAAGTTCCCTACGATTCTCGATCCTTTGTCTATTCCAGATGTGTTGCTCCCTCTTCCAGACTCTTTAGTCTCCACTAGACTCTTCAAATTGATTTATCAGAAGAATTTGCACCTGAGCAGATTGTTGTAGATATAGACACCACAGAGGATGTTTTTAAAGACTCTACTATTCCTGATGAATCTAACATAGATACTACAGTTTCAGCTACTAGAAGATCCTCTAGGACTACACATCCTCCATCTTGGTTGAAAGACTTTATGTACTTAACTACCACTAGGGGTGTAAAGTATCCCTTACAACATCATATGACTCACTTATCGCCTACATATCAATGTTATATTGCTGCCACCTCTATCATCAAAGAACCTACCACCTCTTTTGAGGATGTTAAGGATCATAGGTGGGTTGATGGCATGCAGACTGAGATAAAAGCTTTGGATAGCAATCATACTTGGAAAATTTCTGATTTACCACCTGGCAAGAAACTATTGGTTGTAGGTGGATATACAAAGTAAAATAAAAGTCTACTGGTGAGATTAAAAGATTCAAAGCAAGGTTGGTAGCCAAAGGGTATAGTCAGCACCAGGGGATTGATTATCATGAAACTTTTTCTCCTGTTGTTAAAATGGTGACAGTCAAAACAATCATTTCCTTGGCTACAGCTAGACATTGGCACATTCATCAAATGGATGTGTTTAATACTTTCTTACAAAGTGATTTGGAAGATGAGATATACATGCAACTTCCACAAGGTTTTGTCAGTAAAAAGGAGAAAGTGTGTAGACTTACCAAGTCCTTATATGGGCTTAAACAAAGCACCTAGACAATGGAACCATAAGCTGACTGAGGCTCTTATTAAGCTATAGTTCAAACAGAGTCAATATGATTATTCATTGTTTATCAACTCCTCAGAAGAGGGAATCATTTTGGTACTTGTATATGTGGATGACATTTGTAACTGGCAGCAACTTGAAGATACTAGAGGATACAAAGAGGGCCTTGCAACAAGAATTCAAAATGAAAGATTTAGGGGAACTAAAATATTTTTTGGGCATTGAGATCACTAGATCTGCTGATGGTATCCTAATGCATCAGAGGAAGTATACTATTGAGTTAATTTCTGAGGTTGGAATGATAGCAGCTAGACCTGCAAGCACACCCATTGACATGAATGTCAATATAACTTCCGAACAGTATGACGATCATATAAATCAACAACAAGCAAAAGTTGTTGATGATCCTTTGATAGATCAGACCAAGTATCAAAGATTGATAGGTTAGTTGTTATACTTGAATATGACATGTAACATCTCTAAAATAACTTAGGTGAAAGTAGGGCCTAACGTGTGTGTCATAAATTCTTGAAGTGCTTATATGGTTTAAAATAATGTTTTGAGGCAGTGTCTAAAGATTTGGTTAAGTATGAAGTCAAACGTCAAGGAACGATCAAGACGTTCGACAACTAGTCACTTATGCCTTATGTGTTTTCATGTGCTTATATGCGTGTAATGACTTTATGAGGTCTTTATATGGCTGATAATGGTGTTCAGAGTCAGCATGTTGAGTTTGTTAAGGTTTGGAGGTCAAACGTCCAAGAACGTCTGGTGACGTTCAAAAGATAGCCTTTGAACGTCCTTGTGAGTTTGGGTGTGTTTTAGCATGTTGCGTGGCTTGTTTGATGTTGAACTGGATTGGTGATGTTCCTAAGACCTAGACGTGCGTGTCTAGGGGTTTAATATCTGGGTACAATCTTACCTAGGATCCACAAGGGGCCTTACAGGAGGACCCAAACTCAAGACTTGATGTTGCATGGCAATTTGCATGCAGTGCCAAACGACGACCCAAACGATGGCCAGCCGATGGAACGACGGCTCGTCGACTTGGGGAGTCGATGGAGATGAAAGTCTGGGAGTTGCAGACCAACCTACGGGCACCAATCGATGGATGTAGCCCAGTCGACGGTTCGTTGACGGGCAACCGTCAATAGGCCTGCAAAACTACCAGCTTCACTGTTAAAGACTTGAGGTTTTTGGAAAATTCACCCCTAGTCTTATAAAATAGGAGGACGATTATTTTAAGTGTGTATGGGTATTTTAAGATCATTTAAGTCATTAACCCTAGCACCTAGATCAAAACCTACTCCCTCCCAAAGTTTCTCAAAAACCTCCGTGAGAGCTCAAGGTGAAGATGGAGCTTAATGATGGATCTTCAATGGATTTTCTTGCTCAATTCTATTTGGATTATTCTAATAAGGTATGCGAGTTCTTCATCTAATGTTTGCTATCACCTTAGAGTCAATTTCAAAGATATTTTCAAATGAAAAAGTCCAATTTCTACTCTAAGTCTTGGGTTCTTGCATGAAACATTTTCAAACATTAACATATGATAGTATTGATGTATAATTGATGTTTTCTAATGAAAATATCCATGAACTCTTGACCTTCTCAAATCTCTATATTTAGCTATGTTATGGGTGATATGATCATGTCTCTATGTTAGTGAATTCATGTGTAGATTGTTATGGGCTATAGATTTATGAAAGAATCATATTAGAATTGTGTATGTTGCCCTAAATTGATAAATTCATGTTGAATTACATTAAGTTCATTGTATATTATGATTATTGGATTGAATTGGTGATCATGACCATGGGTAAGGGCCTTTGAGTATTGTATTGGTTGATTTGCCTATGGATTAAAGTTTGAGATTGGATTGGTGGTACGCTGCCCTAACTCTCTTATATTATGTTGTGTAACTCTTACATTATGATGATAATTGGTATGGTCCACTTATGGTGGTTAGAGGAGGAGGAGATGTGAATATGGTGAAGAAGAAAAATAAAGGTGTTGTAGATTTTATTTTTTTCTTTTTCTTCTTTATTGAAAGGTAATTTTTAAAGTAACTAATTAATTAATTAATTAATTTTTAAATAGGTTTTTATTCATGACATATTTTTTAAATAATTTTTAATATATATATCTCATGTCATTATTTAATTTACTACTTTGACCCGTCATCGGCGAGTGTAATGCATATATCCTATATATTTGGCTGGTTGTAAAAAAACGTGTCAATATGACACAATTTCCCCGACTTAAGGTGTTTAAAATGAATAAGTTCTACTTGAGGTGTGCAAGTGAAAATAGATGCCAACTTTAGGTGGCTACCGATGAATTAGGCCTTGTGGATAATGTAGCCTTGTCGGCATTACTTTATAAATTGTGGAACAATGTGACCTCGTCGGCATTACTTTATGAAATAGGATATTATCATGTATAACTTGGCTATGTTATCATTGTAAATGTCTTGATGACTTGTGTATATATGCTAAATTAAATCATGTGTTCTTTTATGTGATTATATGTGACAATGTTATGCTACAGTGGTGCCTTATGTATGTACACTTGAAGTTGAAGTGTGAATCTTCCTAGTTGACTATATGAGACTTGTGATGATTTATGTTGATGATTATTTAGAACTGTGTAGTATGACTAGTAAGTATGCTCAGCTGACCCTATGTGGTTCTTGGATGATATGTTATATGTGATATGGTAAAGTATGTGTGTGTCTTGTTTAGGTAGACTTATGTCCCTTATTTGATACATGTAAGATGTAAATATGAGTTCTTGACTTAGTATGCTAAAGCTTCTTAGTCTTGTATATGTGATTGACATGTGACCTTGAATATAGTTAAAAAGGTCTTTTATGTGGAATCTTCTAGAAAGAAGGTTATGATATCCTTGAAGTCGAAAGTCGTAATGGTATCTTTCTTGTGTGAATGGTGGACGTAGGGTTTGATTGGATGGAACAACATGAAATCATCCTTAGGAAAATCATTGAGTTATCCTCTTAACCTTTGTAAGGCAACCGTAAGGGACCTCTTTGGTAAGGTGTAATGTGATTAGGTTGTGAACTTGATATGAAACCTTTTCATATACTCCTTTATTGAAATACTCTATGAGAACAAAGGCTAGCACCGAGTATGGTTAGAGGAGTTTCTCTATTTGAGTCATGATAATGGAGAACAAAGAAACCCTTCATATTCCTTAACCATGTGCCTACATGGGATGTGTCCTCGTTCTACCATTGGCAAGTAGAACACCCTCCATCGGAGTAGGTTACAACTCGGGATTCCATGCTTAGCTACCATGGTCTATGTAGGTTATTGCCTATTCTCATCGTATGGGACACATGCTAGTGTTGGATAAGTTCTATAAAGTTTATGTAGTGGTATGAGACGCTATCTAGACATTACACGAATAGGCTTGGAAGATGTTAGTATATGAGTCCCTAGGTCTTCACCAAGATCATTATATGAATGTCCTGAAGTGTTGAATGTCTTCTAAATGACTTAATGACTTTAATGACTTAAGTAAAGACTTGTTAATTGAAAAGGTATCTATCAAGAGTAGCTTTGAGGATTGCTTAGGTAGGCTTGGAGAGGGTGCATAGGCGTTCTCTTCATGTCTTACTTAGGTGAGTCTTAGAGTAATTCTAGGTAGGGAGTCTAATTGGTAAAATGTGAATGATCTTATCTTAGGTAGTCTAAAGGATCTCTTTGGTGTGTATGAAAGGATTGTATGGGCGGTCGCTTCATAACTCACTCAAGTGAATCTTAGAATCACTTTTGGTAGGAGAGTCTCATGTCTATGTGAATTGGTGTGATATGTGGTGTATTGAAATAACTTACTTCCGGTAGTCCTACGGATCTCTTTGGTGTGTATGAAAGGATTGTATGGACGGTCGCTTCCTAACTCACTCAAGTGAATCTTAGAATCACTTTTGGTAGGAGAGTCTCATGTCTATGTGAATTGGTGTGATATGTGGTGTATTGAAATAACTTACTTCCGGTAGTCCTACGGATCATCTTGGTGTGTGTGAACGGGTTGTATGGACGTCCGCTTCATATCTTACTTAGGTAAGTCTTAGGATAACCGTAGTAGGGGATCCATGTTAGTATGTTTATGTGTTTTGATGTGGTTTGGTTGTTACCTTGTGATGTGTGAATTATATGTAAAGTTATAGTGAAGTCACTGTAAGGTTACTGTAAGATATCTATTAATTGCGTATAATTTGGATTTGTCTTATATTGTGATTATTGACTTGTTTGATGTCTCTTAAACTATCTTATGAAGGTTTTATATCAAATTTCATAAAAGCATTTTATTTACTAAATGTCCCTTTTTCATAGTTTTTGCATGACTTCCATATTTAGTGCATCTAATGTGCTAACCCCTTCTTTTCCCTTTTTGACTAAATCGTAGGAAAATGGAAGTCTTGATATGCCATGGAGGATGGATAGGTTTCTAAGGGTTGAAGATGAAGTATTGGTGAGTTCTCATCGATTCAAGGACAATATCCACACGTTCTTTTATGTTTATATCTTGCATGAGCTTAGTCCCAAGTGTTGTGTACTCCAAAGTTTAGATGGTTCAATGAGACATTGTAAAGATTTATTGTTTTTAATGAAAGTCTTCCGCTTGCATATATTATTGAAAGAGTTCTTCCTGTGTGAAAAAAGTTTTAAATTCTTACTTATTTTAGAGTGTATATTATGCAATGAATAGTACGAGTGGCTTAAGTGAGACTTCTCGGAGTCTCATATGTCGTGTTCCGACTTGAGGGATGTCCTATCTTCTAGGATGTACTTGTGGATCGTGACATGACAAGACCTGATGTGATATATCATTTAGTACACAAACTCTGAATCAGTTCTTCCAACAACCAAAGAAATCTCACATGGATGTTGCACTGAGAGTGGTCAGATATCTAAAGCAACAACCTGGACATGGTTCCCTGTTAGCAAGTTACTCAAATGATCTAGTAACTGCATATTGTGATGCTGATTGGGCTTCATGCTCAATAACTAGAAAGTCTATTACAGGGTATAGGTGAAGGTTGACAAATCACTAGTATCTTGGAAGTCTAAGAAACAAACTATTGTATCTAGAAGCTCAGATGAAGCTGAGTACAGAAGCATGGCTGCAACTGTTCCAGAACTTGTATGGTTACTTGGCTTGATGAAAGAAGTAGGTGTTGAAGTTCAGCTTCCAGCTCAAATATATAGTGGCAGCAAGGCTGGTATTCAAATAGCAGCAAATCCAATCTATCATGAAAGAACAAAGCACATTGAAATTGATTGTCACTTTATAAGAGAGAAGTTACAACAAGGTTTGATCAAGGTGGATTATGTTCATACCAAGGAACGACCTGCTGATGTTTAAGGGTCTGTCCAAGTTACAACACAATCATCTTCTATCCAAGCTTGGAGTGTTAAAATGGTTTTTTCCCCTCCCATCTTGAAGAGGAGTGCTGAAGTATGAAGATGAAATGTTCAAGTAGAAGTTAGTTAAAGTAGTTAGAAGTCTGTTAAAGAATAAGAAGGGTATTGTAGTCAGGTTAGTTAGCTTATGGAATATTCTAGATGAAGGCTGTATTTATATATATAGCTACACCATCTATGTATTGTTTTAAGTGTTTTTGAATGAGAATGAATCTGGACATCTTTCCCTCTACTCTTCTTCCTTTCTTCTTCCTCTTTTCTTCTTCTAAGTAAATTCACTGTTCCAGCAAGATAACATTATCTGAACTCTCCTAGCCAGCTTCCCCTTCAGCTGATCAAAGTCTTCCAACCTTCATTTGTACTTTGCAGTGACAAAAGAGATGATTGATATCTCTCCCTCATGTAGTAGTAGCACAGTGGTTCCTCTTTTCATAAGATTGTCTCGAGTTAAAACAGCCTCTTTTTCCGGTGTACATGTAAAGCATGTTACTCTTTATATAATCTCCAAGTCCAACATTAAACATCTGCATCGATGAAGCTTTCATAATATCTCTAGTTTCCAGATCAAATAAAATCAAAACGGCTGGCCTGATTTCACTAAAACTGGCACAAGGCAACCGGTACTAACTTCTTTTTCATATCTCGCACGAGATTCTTGGAACTCATAGTATCCATATGGACAGTGCTCCTCTTGGTACGAACTGATCTGATGGCAGAAACGGCACTAGCTGTAAGGAAGTAAATAAGTGCCTAGATCCAGTCATCAGTATCAAGCCAGATGGCCATGGATGTTCTCAAGTTCAGTGCATGTTTCTGTGAGAATTAAGTCTAAAATAGTACCTTATTTTTGAGTTAAGAATCGAAGTCATTTATGTTTGTCAGTATTGGTCAATTTTTGCCTTTCTTTTTTATCTACACTTTATGTATGGAATGTTAAAACCGTTTTTTTTTCTCTATATATATAGTAGAAATATTTTCCTTTTATTCGTCTACCGGTAAAGAGGATTCTGCCACTCTGGAATCAGTTTCTAGCTTCTTGTAAAAGCAACATTTATGGTATCCACTATCCAGGGGCTGCTTCTGTTCTTTATTCTTTTGAGTCCTACTTCTTTCCATGAGCTTCAGAATTGGGACTGTGATTTGTGCTAGGTAAAGTCTAGCAAGTCGAATCAACACTAGGGTTCAAAGTTTTTCTTCTCAAAAATAATTCTCAGCACGTCACTACGACTCTTGACAAAAATCCAATACCTACAATCTATAGATTTGAGTTTAAAATTTTCATTTATGGTAGATAGTAGACTGAGGCTACTGCAAATGCCGTCTGTAGACTCTTGACGATGAAGGACATCAATAAATTAAAGCCAAATAGCCCAAAACAAAAAAAATTCAAATGCCAAACAGATCATTCCCAAACTGAACCAATCCGAACTATTTAGTTTGGATTTTGATTGAAATTTCTCAACAGAAAATCAAAAATTCCAAGCCGCGGCTTTCGTATGCATTCTGTATTGCCTTAACGCCACCCCTAGCGGCAATCAGATCTAGTCAACTTTCAAAGATCATTTGCATGCATATTACATTTTCATTTACCTTTGTGTTCATAGGATCTAAACCCGTTCAACAAAGGTCAAAAGCCGTTGATAACCTTGCTCCATGGTTTCACATTTCTCCAGGGAGCATTGTGTCTCCTGGCAGATCACATATACCAATACCCTAAAGAGATATAATATAGACTCAGTCAACTGGGAAAAACACAATTTAAAAGACTCATACCAGTGGCTTAGTACTCACCACCCTTAGGAGAGGGGCAAAAACAAAGAAAGCAAAAAAAAATCTCACCTCTCCTGTAAGATGCGCGACACATCTCTTCTCAGCAAGCAATTCATCTTCTGACTGCAAAACCGTAGACAAACACCAGATTCATTAACTGCTGCATGAATGTCTAAGCGAAAGCACGGAATTGGAGCTTTTTGGCATTATATGTTCAACATGCTCCATGGCCAATGAAATGACATTTTTCTTATGAAGGGAAAAAAGTGTTCCAAAATCTTAAGAGAAAGGGAGATAACCTTTTTTATTCGGCTTCGGAGGTAGTCATCCATTAATACATCTTTGACAAGTTCATAGTCACCATCACCCTGCAAGCATAAGTATATTAGACCCAATATTGATTTGCACAAAAAACACCAGATGAAACTGCGAACTGAGGTAAAATAACTAACTTTTGATCTGCATGGCATGCTGAAAACTATATCCTTTGCTATCCCATAAGGATTTCCATTGGTGTACACCTACATTATCAGATCTAATTACTTGGAAACTCATAATAATGCAACTGGAAAATAAGGAGCCATTAAACTAGTTATATTATAACAGATATGGTTGGATTAAATGTTTATAAATTTATTCAATAAAAATATGGCTTCCATTTCAGCTTTATGCCTATTTGATCAGGATAAAGTCTGAGGGTACGGAATGCCACTGCACCAGCTCCTTTGTGGTAATGAGTAAAAGATTTGGTATAAATACACACACAAACACAAAAAGCAGAGGCAATGCTAGTGAGGGTGCATCTGCACGAGCATCCAGTATATAAGTTAATAAACCTCCATGTGGAATTAAAAAATGAACAAAGCGAAACTCATCCACCTTCTAATAACAGTATTTCTTGAAACCTGGGCAGGCTAGTGGGTGGGTTGGGGGGAATCAATATTCAGTATGCTCATTTCCTATAATAGATAATTGAAGTCACTAATAGACAACTTAATTCTCTTACAAAAAAGAATTCATAAGCTTACGCCAGTGGAGAACCAATCGCCTTCTGGTGTAGGAGTCACAAGAGACCTCATTGCATCAACAACTGATACAGCAGTCGATGCAGCAGAAGATCTTCCCCATTTCTGAATAAGTACACCACCTCTCTGGAGATCAATGCCTAAGCATTAGACTCTTTTGACAAAAACACATGACAGGCACAAAAGTGAACTCTGAAGTTTGAAACCATACCTTTTGAATCTTTTCAGTGAACTCTTCCTCTAACCATTTAGAGTCTCTAATGACGTCTTTGACTGGAAAACCATTAATTTTTGCATTTAAAAAGTCTGGAACCTGATAGCAAAAAACTGATCTAGCTTATAGCAGGAACAGTAAGCAAGTGAAAATAGCTTTCGCACCAGCGAATGAGAATCTTATCAGAAACCTGAGTAGTCGAATGGTTTCCCCAGATGGTCATATTAGATACTTTGTCATAGAAGACTCCAGCTTTCAAAGCAAGCTGCACAGCCATAAAACTGTATCTTACCTTTTGCGTTCACCGTGAAAAAGAGCCTGCTAAACTATATGATGGCTTACCTGGCATTTTGCTCGATTTTCATCTAATCTCGTCAATGCATGAAAATTCTTTGCAGGTATGTCTGGAGCATTTTTCAAACAAATCAATGCACTAGAGAAGAATAGCAAGATATTAGCAATGAACATAGATGGGTATAAAAGGAGATTTGGCATACAGTGAAATAGTATATTACTTGGTATTACAAGGGTTTCCCACCACTATAACTTTGACATTACGAGATGCAACAGCATTGAGAGCTTTTCCCTGTAATGATTTGGCAAAAGATATAAATAACTTTACTCGACATGTCACCTCTAGTCTATGAGGATAACAACTAGAAGAAGGTACCTGCTCAGCAAAGATTTGTCCATTTATATCCAATAAGCCAGCCCGTTCCATTCCAGGACCTCGAGGCTTTGCTCCAATGAGAAGTGCCCATTCAGCATCCTGGAACACTTCATAAGGATCTATGCCTATGCTGACCTCCCTAAGCAAAGGAAACAAGGAATCCTCTAGTTCCATAGCAACTCCTGAATGGTGACATCTAACCGTTAGTAAAGCAGAAATCCATCAGCTGTTATCAACAGAAGTAGGAATTCCATCCTTTTTTTCCTAAGTTAGCGAGAATGAATATCATAGAAAGCAAGCGGAGCAAAGAGCTGAAAGTTGTGAAACCAATACAAACTACTATAATAAGAAAATGAACACTCTTTATCCAATGTCAGACAACAAGCACATTTTAATTTTATTTTAATAATGTTTGTTTGGAAGTGCTTAAATATCTGACCATATATATAAAGATAGATAAAACAGTTCATCCTAAAGTTAAGTTACAAACATACCGCTCGTCCACCCCACACCCATAAAAAGTGAAAGGAAGATAAGAGAAGTGGAAACGACATATTTATGTCCGTGAAGGATCCTCACCAAATGTAGATGCTGATGGTATAGGGAAAATAACTACCTTCAAGGGCTTGGATCGACCGCTCAGACCCCAATAATTTTAATGCGACTGGTTGATCTGGCCCAAAAACTTCACCTGATGCAAGCTGGAAAAATTGAAACCATTACGTACTTTCCCAGGCTCTATGGACTGATTAAAAAGCTTCTGAAATTTTCACCTATGAAGAAATGGTTCATAAGAACAAACACAATGGTGCTAGATAGCATAAATTCATGATTCATATTTTAAGGTCATTAATAGATGAACTGTGAGTGCAGCAATCTGCTTGGTCCATTTGAAAGGATATTAAATAACAAAAAGAACACGGTCAGGTCACAGATGCATTCAAGCCAAGAAGTTAATTGAAAAGAAAGATTCTCTACATGGTGAGAACTGACTTTAGATAATAAATGAGTTTCTTCAACTATAGTATCCCAAGGACGTGGTCACACTTTACTGATGCTGGTGTGCGAATGTATATCAATTTTGACTCTAATAATCGGGTTATCACGAGAGCACATGACTGATCTGTTACTGTGTAAATGATGCAGTCTGGAAAATTAGTTACCAAAATAATATGTTTTTCTAAAATTTTACAAAACTAGTATAAACGTATTCCACAGTAACGTTTTAGCATATATTTTATTTTTTAAAAGTTGATGGCGTCAGATTGATATATGTTACTCACATTAACGTCTTACTCCTAAAACGTTACTCACAGTAACGTTTTAGGAGTAAAACGTTACTGAAAATAACGTTTTAAAAGTAAAACGTTACTTACAGTGACGTATATCTACCTAATGCTGTTAGTTTTTAAAAAATAAAATATACCCTAAAACGTTACCATGAAATACGTTTATACTAGTTTTGTAAAATTTTAGAAAAATGTATTACTTTGATAAATTATTTTATATAATGACTTAATTTGGTTAAAAATTCGGAAAATTAATCAAGTAATATGCTCAATATTTTGTTACTGTTGTGCTCTTAATGAAGAAATTCGTACATTGTTCGCGTTGTGGTTGAAGTAAAAAAAAAGACTAGCACTCATTAAAAGTAACGGGAAAAGGGCTTCTTACTTTAAAAAGAAAATGATTAGCGATCATTCCGGCAGCACCAGAAACAGAGACATTTATCAGCTTCTTCCAAGAACTTGTCTCTTCTTCCTGTTGAAACAAGTTTATTCTTAAAATCAAAACCAATTACTAATCCAACATACAACAGTTGTACAGAGTTTTTCCCTCCATCTTCTAATAAGAAACAGTTGTACAGAAGTTTTCCCTCCATCTTTTATTAAGAAACTCTACCTATTGTTTTCGGACCATTTGCGACTTAACTATTGACCCTCCTTCATAAAAATTATGGCTCTGCCACTGTGTGACCTGAACTTCATTATTACGAATTTTAGAAGAAAGGAGAAGGTAACTTACAGCTTTGAGATCATAAGTAAGACAGAAAACACCAAAGCATTCAGTTTTTTTAGTTGGCTCCTTTGCCACCGGTACTGGTGCACTGGAACAATAAAACAAAGGTGTTAAAAAAGGTTTCATTATTTTAACACAAGTAGTAAGGGGTGAAGAAAAATGAACATACTTAGAGATAACAGAGCAGCATATTTTACTTCTTCGGAGAGGAGTTAGTGATAATCGAGGCTTGTGGGTTGATACATGCAAAAATTGTGAAGGATAAAGAGATGTGGTTTTAGTGAGTGAAGAAGAAGGAATAAACTCTGCCACCGCCATGGCAGCAGAGTATAATTTGATGGAGAGAGAAGCTTAAGTTTTGTGGGTTTTGGAGGGAGCCAACACTTGCCACCTTATCTCATCTCATCTATACCTCCTTCCTCAAACATTATTATTATTATTATTAGGAATTTTTTTAAAAATATCAATATTTTAACATTTAAGAGGGTTCATTAACAATACTTTCAATATTTAGTAAAAATGTCAAAATTTAAGTTTGTTATGTATCTTATTTATGTTCTTATTATTTATTTTATTTCAAACATATATATTTTTTATATAACAGATTGAGAGGAATTTAGCGGAGATTATTATTTTTAAAAAGGAATAAATGTTAAAAGTTTCATCAGTTACAATTTATTAAAATACACCAATTTTCATCTCTTTCTTCTTTTTTTAATCATGTTATAAATTTTTTTTTCTCCATTGTTCTAAAAAAATTCAATATCCAATTCTCGTAATCCTTTTTTTTGTTTCTAAACACTTTTATTAACCAAAATAAATATTCAATTTTCACTAATTATTGTTATAAAAATCACGGAATTAAAGAAGTACCACATCTATAAAATTTCAATATCAATTTTTCACTAATTATTGTTATGAAAATCATAATAAAAAAATATAATATTTCATTCTCATTAATTATTATTATGAAACTTTATGATAATACTTTATAGTTTTATCTATTAAATTTATATTTTTTTTAGTTTAGAAACTTGAACACCTATAGTTTTATTTGTAATTGCCATACTTTTCTCACAGTGTATTTGTTTTATTTTTTAAAATTTTGTATCCTTGCTTAAATTGTATTTATTCCAATATGTATACCGTTTGTATTTGTATCCATTCTAGTTTTCATGTTGTATTTTGTATAATAAAGCTTGTATTTCTTTATTAGTTTGTATTCATTCCAATATGTATGTCAAATAAAATGTTGCTATTTAAAAAATACATTTGTATTCGTATATATTTTTCACTGTGTATTTATTTTTCTTTTCAAAAAATCTTGTTTCCTTTTCTAAGTCGTATTCATTCCAATATGTCTATTATTTGTATTTGTATTCGAATATAAATAAACTAATAGAAAGTTGTTCTTCTTATAAATAAAATACATAACTAGTTGACATACATTTGGATAAATACAAATTAGGGACAAATACAAGATTCATAAACCATGCAACACGAAATTTTTAATAAATAAATATATTGATAGTATACATAGTGATTTGAATACAAATTGAGAAAGCATACCGAATTCTAAAAAAGAACTATAAATACAAAACAAACTAATAGAAAATTGTTCGACAACTATCCGATCTTCTTCATTTTTTTCAAGATCCTCATGAGTAGACAGATTCTACATTTGCGTTCTGAATTTGAGGAAGATTTTGCACACCAATGAGTCTTGTAAATGTTCTTACCCTCTTTCTTCCCTCATTTTAGCAGCGGATCATAGATTATACACTATTTGTTAAGTAATAAATAAATTAAAGGATGAAAAATCACCAGAAATTGGTTGATTAAGATGAATACCTCTAGTAAGCCTCTTGGATTCAGCTATTGGAGAGTAAATCATGACAGAAATTAAAAAATACAAACAACATTTTTTTAAGATTTAAACAAAAATAAAATTAAAAAAGAAATCGGAAAATAGGATAAAGATTAGAGATACCTTAATCAAAGGGATTCTTGTTGATCCAATTTTGGATTAGAAAAACAACCAAAATATATTGCAGAAAAATATTTGCAACTTGAATGTTAGAGGAAAATCAGGAAAGATAATCATGAGAGAGAAAAAAAAATTAAATGGGAGAGAGAATTAACAATTTGAAAAGATAAATATGAGAGAGAATGATTTTTTTTTTTAAAAAAGATATATAGAATTAATTGAAAAAGAGAGATAAAATAGGAGGAAAATTGGGACACATAAATTTTTTAAAATAATGACATTTTTTACATTATTGCTAATATTTATAAAGTATGGATATTTTTACTAAATATGTTATTTATTTTGACTAGTTTACTAATTTTCCCTTATTATTATTATATAAATTAATTTTTAAATTTACCAGCACTCTAGTCATCTCTACCTCAATGCCTCAACGTTCTACTACAATCAATCACGATAATTAAGATCAAAACTTTAATCTATTTCCAAATCAACCACCTCCTTCTCCTCCTCTTTGAAAAAAAGAAGTAGATATTAGGTCAAAAATCATGTTAAAATATTTTTTATAAGTGAAATTTTTATTTTAATACAACATTTTTGTACTTTTTTTTAAAAAATAACGTATGTTTTATATTTGCACTAGTAATTCAAAACAAATATAAATAATGATAAATATTGTCAACAACAATAAATGTATCTCCTCTGGACTAGTCCCCCTTCTGCTTCTCGAGGTGGAGGCGGTGCAAGTGGCAAAAATAGTTCATAAGTTTATGCCATACGCAAATATCATATGAGAATGTGTGAGTCGGATGATTTGTTAGCTGCTTATTTTTAAGTAAAAACTAAAATTATTTTCTTAATGCTTATAAATTTTTTGGTGTTGGTAACACATTAAACTAATATTTGTGCACAATCCTCTTAGAGGAATTTATAGGGTAATCCTAAATCAACATCGATAAATTGATTTTTATCATACTAACTTTTAATTTGTTTATGGTGAAATTTTATGGATTTAAGCAATAAATGCTTTGATGTTCACAACTCTTTTGAGATAGTTGTTTTGGATAATCATAACTCTTTTGAGATTGTTCTTTTGATGATCATTATCTCTTTGAGATTTCTATTTTGGTGGTCATAATCATTATTGAGATTTGAAACTATGGACCAGTAGTAAAAGACATATGAATATGGACTTACGATAATAACAATGACATGGAAAGCGAATGTGACAACAATATCATACTTAGGAATTTATATGACTCAATAAGCATTTTGACATCTCAAATTGAAGCACATCAAGTGAAGACATTTAACATTCAGCCAAGAAATTTGAACTCTATATGATACTCCCTAACTAACATCAAATAAAAAGTGTTCATGAATGTGGAACCAAAGGGGAACGTGGGCAGATTCAACTTAAAAACGAATACATATTCCAAGTAAGTACATATAAAATGTATAATAGAGCAAGTAGGTATCTTATGAGGTACATTATATCTAATACAATGGGAGTAATAACCAATAAAGGAACATATGAACATGTGAAAGGATGACATATAAACATATGTACCATGTGTAATCTAGGATCATTTTGATTTATATAAAGGGAATACGTGACAAGGGTACTTTAACGATGAAACAAGTTTAAACCTTGAATGCTAATACTTGATAGAGTAAGCACGTACATTTAGAAAAAAATCTCATATTAGAATACTCACTTTAATGCTTTAGGGAGTAGGAATTGCAATTATGGATCAGTCACTACCAAGGGTACTTAGAAAAATTACTTTGTAATACAAGTATGGGATTCATGCCAAAGAAATAGTAAATCGAATAGCTTTTCATACCTTATCCTCTAACCAATACAACTATCGAATTAGCCTCCCCTTTTAGATTTTAATCTACAATATAAGTCATGATAAACTAAATTAGCAACTATCACACCATGAGTCTCGTAAAATAGTAGATAACTTTGACGGATAATGAGCCCATACAACCCTTAGAATAACGTGTGTCACCTTAACCTCCTTCTCTTCCCAATACATACATTATATATCCTTTTCAAAGATTACCCAAGCTGCACCAAAAATAATACACATAAAACAGCCTCAAATATTCTTTATCATATAACCAATTATTGAAATCACCACTCCCTTGAATTTTTTATGACAGCACACCTATATTTCCTCACTCAAACTCATACATAAGGAAGAAGAAAATGGAGTAGTCACCTTATCTCAATTTCTGCAACTTCTCCTTATAACTTGAGTTCCTCTAGAGCTTCAATTGTCCTTCACACTTAAATCAAAGAAGAAGAGAAAAGTATCTTTATAATTAAGGAAAGTGAGCAGTAGCTTGTGGGAACTGCTGCCTTGTACTTATAAAAAATTAAACATGAATAACATGTTCTCTAGTCTTCCATAGGTGAATTTAGCTAAATCCACAAGTTTTTCTCTTACCTTGGTTTGCATATAGGTTTCTTAAAGAATCCTATAAGAACTTTAAGGCTGTTATTTTAATTCTTAAGAGAATAGAGAGAGAACCTGAGTTAATTCTCAATATTGTGTGTTAAAAATGAGTGACAATAGCAACCAATATCTCTTATATTGAGTTTATTCACCTTTAAGAATATCCTCTAGAACTTTCTTCTTTTTAGCTTCATTTTCAGTCACTAATTGATCAAGTAGGTGATGCACTTGTTTATGTACATCAAGTAGCTCAAAATGTCAAACTAGTTGATGCACCTACTTGCTTTCACTTGGGCTAAAAGGTGCTTGCTTTCACTTGGGCTAAAATATATTGGGCCTTGACATATTTGGTTGCTGGGCTTTAATTTTATTTAACTTAGTTTGGGCCTCAAGTGAGTCCATTAGCATAGCCCAAATCTAATCCATAAACCTTGGTCTTTTTAAGTAGATTTATATAGCTCAAGTAGGTGATGCACCTACTTGGTCGTTTGGACTGGTCAATAAGTCAAATTGTCATGACCCAAAGTACACCTTAGAAGATAGGACATCCTTCAAGTCGCCACACGGCGTACTCAGCCTCTCAGAATTCTTGCACAATCCCTTAGTCATCATTCATTGCATATATATGAAAAGTAGTACGGAATTAAAAAATTTCACAACAATAGAACCCTAGTTCAATATCTCTTTCATAGAAAACATAGGAAATGCTAACTCTCTTTTTAGCCATCTTAGACACACTACAACTCATACATCAACAAATAGAAAATAACAAGTCTAATACAATGTCTTTAGAAAAGAAAAGTTAAACATAACTATCTCCTTTAATCAATTGAGAACATACCAAGAATTGCTTGAAAGGATGCTATTTCCAAGATTGCTTCCAATATACTCCTCACTTGCCACCTGCACCTTTAGAGATAAAACAACATATGAAATTAGTAAATTTGAATGCACTAAGTA